AAGTGATTCTATAAGTACTTGTCGTACTTTAATTTATATTCAGTCTAAAGCCATAAAGTATTATTAGACTTTGAATTATCATTAAGACATTAGAAGTTTCCCTTTGAATATTCCTTAAATTTTATAAATATCTTTGAATATTTCAAAAGTCCCATCAAAATGATAACAATAGGTTCTAAACTTTCAGTTGATTGTTTGACTTTGATTGGTTTTTTTTTTTGGTTTTGATTGGAAATCAGAGGAAATAAGCATATTATCTGGAATAAAAGCAATTAACGGAACATGATCTGGATCTGAATATTCTTTTTCAATTTTCATATAAATTGAATATGTTTTACGAGTGATGAGTTTGCCTTGACCATTCATTTCTTTTAGACAATTAACACAGGAACAAAAAATTTTATTAGTTATGTTAAAGGGATATTTTTGGAAATATTATGAGGAATATTTTTGTAAAAGAAGGAAATAAAGAGAAAGAGAGAAACTTGCCTTTATTTATAACTTTAGAAATACCTGATTTAAAATATTAATTAAACTTTTTTCGCAATTTACAATTATAAATATATATATACTTTCTATAATTTATCATTTTTACTATATTTATTATTTATTATGATATATTGCAGTAATCTGACACATTATAGGGATCCAGAAAAGTCATAATCTAATATATTCAGATAAATGCAGCAAATCACTGTAATTTATCTGACTAAATAATTGGATCACTGCAATATATCCAGCTAAATAATTGGATCACTATAATATATCCAGATTTTTTTCTAATATTTTACTGGATATAAAAAAGATCTGAAGTGGTTGATAGATATATCAACCACGTCAGATATTTGGCTGATATATATCAATCACATTGAATTTTTTTCATATTCTGATAGCAAAAATCTGACGTGATTTATATAGTTGATATATATCAGTCAAATATCAGGTAAAAATCTGACGTAATTGATATATCTATTAATCATATCAGATTTTTTTCATATTCTGATAGCAAAAATCTGATGTGGTTTACGTGGTTGATATATATCAGCCAAATATCAAATAAAAATTTAACATGGTTGATATATTTATTAACTATGTCAAATCTTTGCTATCAGAATATAAAAAAAATCTGATGTAATTGATCTTTTTAAACATGTATGAATTGCTATAAAAATGATCTTTATATTTTTTCTTTTTTTTCTTTTTTTTTAGAAAAGAAGCTTTTCACAAACCAATTAAAAACCAATTAAAAACCAATCACTCAAACCAATTACTCAAATCAATTACTCAAATCAACCACTCAAATTACTTTAATTCCAAAATGTCAAGCTACAACTTATTTTTTGATATCTGTAATTTGACTGTTCAACAATGTGCAACCCTATTTTTACAACTTCTAAATAATACTACTATGCTTAGCACCTTCTCATTAAAACAAAAATGTCAAATACATGAGCATCTCAGTTTTTCAGATTTGAACTTAATACAGGCTACTTCATTTATTGACATTGTAAATGAACACGTAAGACTTTCATATATTTTCTGTCAATTTAAAAGATTATTAAACTTTTACTTTAGCATCTAAAAGATTCAAGTTTAAATTCATACAATAAAAAGAATTCATTGAAGTGAAAGAAGAGAATAAAAATATAACATGGCTGGAATTTTTAAACATGAATAAATAACAATTTGGAGCTCACCGAGTATTTTTTCAAATTTTTTTTTCAAGCTTCCTGTTACTTATTTTGCTATTATTATTACTTTTAGAATTCGTTAAGAAAATGAGCAAAACCTCAATTCAAACTTGAACTCCCATTGTTCAGACAAGATTCTGGCAAACATGAAGAAATCATCAAGAAAGTAATAAATAAGTAATTAAATTCAAGAAAAATTACATCCAATTATTTTATTTTTTTATTTTTTTTTTAGTTTAAAGCGAATAATCTGATCTTTCCACACTCAGAAGATGACTTCCTATTAAATAAAATATTAAAAGTGATTTGTAATAACTGATGTGACAAACTATATAAAAATCAAGTAAAAGAGATAAAAGAGAAGTGACTGTTATCATCACCAAAAAAGAATTCAAAAGTGGTATCACTACCATCATGCTAACACCAAAAATCCAGCTTTGATGAAGATTCATCACACTGACAATGAAAATTCAGCCATGAAAATCTTTATCAGAGTTCAGATCTTTAACAATACGTGAAAAAACTATCAGAACTCTAAAGAATATCTGATAGAGAATTAAACAAATATTTGCTTAAGTTACCGATGAATGAGGTGTTAGTGTGGTTTATGATCATATACAAAGAAGAAAAAGAAGAAGAATCAGTGATGTCAACATCAAAAAAATCTGAAAGTTTAACAAGAGCCGAAACATCATCACCAAAAATCACCAGTTCATTATCATCTCTCATAGTAGTCTCCTGATTATCACCAAAAAAAATATTGTCAAAAAGTAACCAGCCATCTTCTGTTTAATCAAAAAGTAACTGCCATTTATCAATATCAATATCAACACCAACATCATCAACACCAATATTATCAACACCAACACCAAAATTCACCAAAAAACCAAAAATAATTGAGATTGAAGGTATTTTATAAATGTGTTATTTTTAGTTATTTTTTTTATTGTAAATCATCTGAAAGCAAAAATAGATGATGATAAGAAATGGAAAATGAACGGAAAGAAGATAAACTGAAAGAGCAAATGGATGATGAACTGGAAGATGACAATGACAATGACGATGATGATGATAACTATATTATTTCAAAAAAAAAGAGCTGAAGGTAAGTTAAGTAGTTATTGAATTTTTATTTATTTCTTTTTTATTCCATTTTTGTTCCTTTTTTATTAGAGACCAAAAGCAAGCCTCAAAAAGCAAAGGCTAGATAGAAATATGAAAGGAATGAGGAAGCTAGAAGAGGAAGTGATGAGAAAACTAAAAGAGGTGATGGTAGTAATAGAAGAGTTGTAACTTATTCCCAAAGAGTATTCAATAAAGAAAAGGGACGTGCAAAATAGGTAAAAGAAATTGTTAGTTTTATCTGAATAATGATTTTTGCAGCATTTGCTTTTTTTTAGGTTAAGTTTCTGTCAGTTTGGCTCTGACAAATGTCTGTCTTTCTACTGCTACTTCATTTTTATTTATTATTCCAATTTTATTCTGACTTTTTTACTTAATATTTTGACTTTTTTTTTGTTTGTTATTCTGGTTTTTTTTTATTCACTATATTAACTTTATTCTGACTTTTTTTATTTATTATACCAACTTTATTTTGACTTTTTTATTCATTATTTTATTTCAACTTTTTTTATTTAATATTCCAGCTTTTTTTAATTCATACTTTAATATTCCTCTACCATTAATTCTGACATTCCTCTATCATTAATTCTGATATTTCTCCACTACAATTCTGACATTCAATTCTGACATTTCTCCACTACAATTTTGACATTTCTTTACCATAAATTCTGACATTTCTTTACTACAATTCTGACTTTTCTCTACTATTAATTCTAATATTCCTTTACTATCAATTCCAACATTTCTCCACTACAATTCTGACATTCCTTTACCATCAATTCTAACATTCCTCTACTACAATTCTGATATTTCTCCATTACAATTTTGACATTTCTCCAATTATTATAAAAGTAATAGAACATTCAAATGTAAATATATAGAACATTTAGAACAGTAAATATATAGA